ACTATAATGCAGAAGATGCAACAGAAAACACCGACAGTCCTGTATGGCATATCCACCAAGGCAAAGTTCCAGTTATTCAAACATCGGGCATAAATTTTATTTTACTTTTAAACCTTGCAGCAGCTTGCAATGCCGAAAACAAAGAAATTCTTTGGGGATTCATCTCTACTTACGCACCAGACGTCACTCCAAAAAATAATCAAATGCTTAACCGGCTTTCAGATTTTGCAGTGAGATATTACCATGACTTCATAAAGCCAACAAAGTCATATAAAACTCCAAATGAAAAGGAAAAAAGTGCGCTGTTAGATTTGCAACAAACTCTGCACTCATTATCCACAACATCAACCGCCAAAGAAGTGCAAACTGAAGTATTCTCTATTGGCAAAAAACATGGTTATAAGAATTTACGTGATTGGTTTGAGTTATTATACGAAACATTGCTCGGTCAGAAAACCGGCCCGAAAATGGGATCATTTATTAAACTCTATGGAATAGACAACACTATCTCTCTGATAAAAAATGCGATAGCTGAAAAACTATAACAGCCTATATTTATATACTTATACCTTAGTTAATTCTACCCCTACTGGCATTAGGTTTTATATAACTTGCAAATCCACACCATCTATAGGGTTAAAAGGCATGCCTGAATGCTTAAAAATACTAAAACTTGCTAATTTATAGTAAATAAAGTATCATGTTATACATACTTCTGTGATATATAACAGCATAACTTTAGTTGCTATACCCCCCCAACCTCTACAAACCAAAATCCAAGCAATCCATACGGAGCACCAACGAAGTTAAAAACTTCATGAAAACTACTGCAGTCTTGTCAAGTCGAGAAAAAATCCGCCTAAAATGTTTTATCTTACAAAAAAAATACTCGATAAAATGCCTCTCTTTATAAACGTATTCGTAATAGTATCTCCGCGCTTTTCGATTTCTTTTTAGAGGAGTGCATTGCTATAGCAACCCTTATCGGCTACTAAAGTAGAGTTTGAACATTTTCAGTCAATGTTTTAGCCTGTGTAATATCATTTTTTTGATTAAGAGTAGTTGTAATCCATCTTTGCTGCGTCCTAGTGCTTCTTGAGCTCCAGAATCTTTTTTGTATTCAGCAGTACAAGCATGAGCTCGAATGATTGTCCCATCAATTATTTGCACTTCCAAATCTGGATCTTATGTATATTTTAACAATCTTTCTCAAATTCCCTTTTATACCAATTTTAAATCTCTTATGTACACTTCTGTAATTGCCATATATTTCTAATAAAAGTCCTCATTGGCAACCACTTCGTGTCACATGCTACACTGATTCCATGAGTTTTCTTAGATGATCTTCATTTTTACTGTGTATTTCTTTTATACTTTTCAAATTTGCAAAAATTTGTTTCCATTTTGTTTCTTATGTGTAATATTTCATTTGAGTTTCTCCTTGTTTATTAACTGGTAAACTACCACTTTCTTCTTGCTTCTTTAAATTTTGGTTTATAGAAGTTAG